ACTTTTGTGTTGTTGGTTTTTTTTTGGGGGGGGGGTGAATTAGGGGTGTGTTTTTTCCCCAATTTGTCACCCCTGTTTTAGGTGTTTCTCTGCGGGTTTCATTTTTTCATGGAATGCTGTTTTTTAAGTCTTATTTCTTTCGGGGGTGTTTGCCTTTGATGATTGATTGTATTCCCAGCGTTTTGACAATTCTTGTGAAAAAGCATTATACATGCACTACATCTGAGTCGAATTCGTAGGTGATTGGCGGGTGTCCTGGTGAGGTTTGCTTCTTCTTTCCTATGAAACGTCTGTGGTCCTTATCTCCCCTTCGTCTTTTTCATGTTTGTTACTCATTCTCTTGTAACACCTCTAATCTTCTGGCACTCATCTAACCTTATGCAGTTGCGAGCGCCGTAAAACCTACTAAAACAAAAAACATGAGGCAAATTCTGGTGCTTATAAATTGTGCAGTACTACAGGGTGGGGGCGTTTCGAAATTATCTGGTTCGGTAATTTGTTAAATAAAACATTCTTTCAAAGTATGTTTCTGTCTGGAAAGACATTGTATTGTGTTTAAGTAGTCTGGTGTTCACCTCAGTATAGGGAAAGTAGAGAGAGATAATCTTTGAGAAAGAATGAAAAGGTTAACAGCATCCAGAAATCTAGGTCTTGCGGTATTCAAATGTGGGCATGTGAGATGTGGAGAAAAAGGCTGTAGCATATTGATAGGTGGAACTTGATATGTGTGTCCTATGATGATTATTCATTTACCTACATTGTCTGAAGTCATGATAGATAAATATCACTGAGGACAGCTGCTATCAAGTTTTACCACAATGTCCTTTGTCACTAAGTTGTACACTAATTAAATCTTGCTTCTTCTTTGCTTCTTCTTTGCTTTTCTGCCTGCCAATGGCAACAGTAGATTTTAAAAGCAATATTAGACTAAAAGAACACCTAATTGCTTAAATGTAGTGTCAATGGTCAAATAACAAAGTGTATGGCCTACATGTTTGTTTTCAACATAGTCAAAGTTGTCCATGATTGTCATCCATTACCAAGGAGAAGTGATTGTCTTGGACAGCTGGCCATTAGAGCAGATTTTATCGTAATTGCAAAATGATCTGATGAATTTGGGGTCCACTTAAAATTTGGTATGCTTTGGTGCGTGTTCATTTTGATTTCATTTGTTGTGAACTCTGTAGTTTTGGTGGGGATTATTCTCATTGAATGGAGGAGTTCAATAAAGCGTTTTCTAAGATTATGGTATATGGTGAGTTATCCAGATTTGTGAATATATGTCGAGCCTGTCATGTGATGTGCCTATGATGATTATACTCACAGCGCATTGATATTCATGTCCGTGAAACTATTTTTAAATCTGAGGCATTTTCAACCTGGATTTTAATTTATTTTATTTTTTTTCGAGTGGCTTTTTCTCGTCCTTACTATTTGTCATGTAACACAAAATATTGTTAATTTTTCATCGGATGTTGGGTTTTCTTTTTACAGTTCTGCAGCCTGGACCGTCTGTCCCATGAGGTTGGCTGGAAATACCAAGGGGTTGTGGCCACCCTTGAAGCAAAGAGGAAGGTGAAGTCCAGGGAGTTCTACGACAGGAAGAAGCAGATGCTGGTATGTTATGTTGACACGAGCCCGTTGGTTTCGTTTTGACTTTATCTAGCATCTGCGTTTGTTGCCATTTTTTTCTCTCCAAAAGTTGCCATTAATTTTCAAGCTTTCAACTAGCTGTGACGACGTAATATATTGATAGAGGTAACTTAATCTAGATCTAAAGCACCAGAATTTCTTGTGCTGTTTTAAGCATCCTGAATATTTTTTGTAGCCCCATATTGTGTAAAAACGTTAAAAAAATAAAGGTTTCGCAGCAGAATAAAATCAAAATTAGAACAGCACACGAACAACCGCAAAAAGTAACAAATAAGGGGGGTGTCCACCTACCCGAAGATTGGCCGTTTTAACCATAAACGTGTTTAATTCAAGAAAAAGTACTGGATATTGCATGTAAATTATGGAATCACACACAAGGGGCCTGCTAGTGTCAATATTCAGTTTTGGTGGAGACATGCTCTAACATAACACATTTATATTTTTTATGTAGGAACATCAAATTAAATGGCATTACGCTATATAAGCACACACACAAATAGATCAGAAAAATAACCTCCCAAAAATTAACACACTAACAAAGGGGGGAAAATAAAAGACAAACAGCAATATAATAAATAGTATGTAATGTGCTTATTATTATTCTTCACATGAAAATAACTTCATGGACACCTTGAAATTATCAAAATATACGTCCTATGTTATGAAGTAGCCTTTTTTTTAAAATGCAAAAATCACAGACGCAGATGCTAGCTTTATGCAGTGCTGTCCCTTTTCTTCTGTTTTAACGCTGTGATTATTGAAATGTACTTTCAGGGTGGGGTTGTTAGGATGGGTCTGCTTTTAGTCTACCCCGCTTATTTTTTCGTTTATCAATCTTGCTTCATCTTAGCACTAAATAACTATTGTACTGATGTGCCTGTGTTTGGGGGGGGGGTTGGCTGTGGATACTGGTGTGGTGTCATGATTATTTGTCATTGTTTTCAGACCCTTAGTTAGGGTGTGGCATGTAGATGGTTAGTTTGTGCTCTGGTGTGGTTGATTCTTAATTTTCAGTCTTTACTATTTCAATCTGATCAAGCGGTGTTATTGTTCTGTCTGGTCAAAAACACATCTAGAAGCTGAGGTTGGAGACAACTCCCATGGTACAAATCCATACATACTGTCCGTGATGAAATAACCACAGCGCATTGATACGATGTGAAAATAGCTTACCATCTGAGACAGTTGTGGTGACCTGGCCCATGTTTTGTCAATTAAATTTCTTCATCAGTTGTATAGATTAGATTGTTGTGTGTGCGTTTTCATGGTTTCAAACAGGGTAGTTTTGACGTCATTTCACATTTTTAAACTCCACCCCTCCCCCTAAATGACTAAATGTGTGTTAAACATTCAGTGTTTTAGGTTTGAATTTGTTTTTTAATTCCAGCTGTGAGTTTAGCTTGATTGTTGGGGTTGGCAAAAGTTCGGGGTTGGTGGTTGGCGTGTGCTCTTGTGTGGTTTGCTTCTTCTTTCCTGTCAAACAACTATCGTCTTTATTTCCCGTCCTTTTTTTGTGTGTTTGTTATTCTCTTGTAACACCTCTAATT